GAAGGCGAGTAACATATTAACATTTTGTTGACCGGAAAATTTTACACAAACACTATGTCTTGTCATTGATTATAATTTAGTAATTGAACATGGACGCAAAAGAAAACATTCTAATTAAACTCGAATAAATTTTATTTACATTAAAGGAAATGAAATTAATATTCTGGTTTCATAATATAAAACAGATACTGTAAGTGTAATGACGAGTTAACTCGTCACCGGGCAAAAATGTGTTGGTGTTAATTACTACCATAATATAGCATAATAGAGAATTGGTAGTAATACATTACTACTATATTATATTAATTCTCATAGTAACTGACATAACACGAAGCATCTTTGTCACCTTTTTATTAAATATACAATTATTTATATTTATGTTCCAAACGTAAATTAATGTGCTATAATTAGTAAACGAATTAATTGCTGTTAATTTTTGTTTTAGACCTGCTCTATTAATTACACTGGGAGAGGGGACTTTTTTAGTTTTCTGTTGCATGGAATTTTTGGACATATCTAATGTATTTTTGCGTTGCTGATTTCAAATCTGCAATCCGTTTCTCTCGACAAGTTATAGTTTTTATACAATTTAATTATAATATATTCAGAACCAAGATTATTGTAAAATCCACCTGAGTGTATGCAAAAATTCCCACTTCCCTGCTACGTAGGGAGTAGCAGGAAGAAGATGATAATTCATTTCAGTCTTTGATACGATAAACAGGGATGCCACAAAGCGATAAAAAATGTAAAAAGTGGTAGAAACTCAATAAATTTTTATTAATCTATAATCTCTTTAATTTCTCAATCGTAGCACCACTAGGATTCCCATTTCAAATTATTCATATTTAAAGCAAATATTTTTATAGCATTCACTTTCAAAAGTAAACTGAAAAAATATGCTAAAAAAAGTTGCTAATTTTAACCTTTTTCAATAAAATTTTGATTTTTATTAATTATCACTTTTTGACTTTTTTAATCAATCATGGTAACCTTGGATACGTTAAGGTCTTTTTTTTTTTCAAAATGTCATTTTCAAATGTGAACTGGCAAGTGCATACATGTATGTATATAAATCTGTACGTTCCTTATGAATTTGTACATTCAGTTAAAAAATAAATTTAACAAAAAATATCATTTTGAAAGAAAAAAAATCTGTTCCTTTCCAAACAAAACTAATTTCAGATTTCAAACACATGTAAGATCAAGTATTTGTATAAATTCAAAAAATATTATCTTTTACCTGTGTTATTATTAACTATAATTCTAAAATAAAATTAATATTATTAGCTTCACATGAAAATTATCTACTATTAAATATAATTAATAACTTACATTTACTCTAATGTTTAAAAGCTAAGTTTTATTAAGCGTTTATAACAGAAAAGCTTTATTTATGTATGTGTAACCCTTTTGCTCATGCGCCGTTTGAAAAATAAAGGCATGCCATAGAGAAAAATGTTACTATCTACTATTAAAATACAATTAATAACTAAAATTAACTTCGATGTTTAAAAGCTCAGTTTTATTAAACTCTTACAACAGAAAAGCTTTATTTTTGTATCGCTTTTGCTCATGCGCCGTTGGGAAAATATAGGCGTGGCACAGAGAAAAATTTTAAGAGTTTCGCGACATAAAATGTTACAGAACTATTTCAGATAAATTATAAAATAAACTATGTAGATTTGTTGCGAATATTATAATTTCACTTAGCTAAATGTAATGTTTCATTAAAAAAAAGAAAAGCTGTTTCCTTTTTGAGATATTAAACATAATGTGGAATAAAAATACTAAAAGTAAGTTCGTAAACTAAGCGAAATAAGTTTGATTTGTAATGATAGAAAGTTTAATAAAACAATTTTCAAACTAATTAAAATTTGTTCTCATGATTATAAAGTTCAAACAAATTAATTTTTCAAAACCTTTTGTTTCAGCAATATTTTTTAAAGAAAACTTTATACTATTTGCTACTGGCATACTTTCGTTTCTTTTATTCGTTAAGTGCTAACTTCAACAGGTTTTCAAAGGAAAAGTACTGAACAATATCAATTAAAAACTCTAAAATGATTATTTTGAAACTAAAATAAATATTGTTAGAAATATGTAGCTCTCGGAAATATGTTTATTTCATGAAGTAGTTTCAAAACATAACAGTAGTTTATAAGAATTATATTCCGCCTTCAATGTAATATTTTTTTCTGAATAAAATTTAAATTATTCCAAATATTATACAACGGAAATATTCACTTTAAAATAAACTATAATAGAATTGTGAAAAAAATTTCTACCGGCTAAATTTATTAAGAAAAATACATAGGGGTAAGTGAAATAAATTTCTTTCTAAAACTATTTTTCTATTTAATTTCTATCTGAAAATGTAATTTCTATCTAAATTCTATCTAAAAGAAAAATTCTATCTGAAAATCTAGAAAGGATGCTTAAGTATTGGAAAAATGGTTTAATTTCCGATTTCGATCTGAAAAATAGATTGAATTGGAAAAAATGTGTTGATTTGTATCGGGAAAATTGTTTGATTCTTTTAGAAAAAATGGTTAGTGAAAGCAGCGAGCAGGGGGTGGGGTCCCGAACCCTAATATTACTATACAATTCTTAAAAATATAGGATTTTACTAAAAGGACGCAGATTCTAGATTGAAAAGAAAAAGAAATTATAGCTATTTATAAAATCGTTCACTATAAATACTTTTATTTTCTTATTGTAATATTGAGTATAAAAATTAAATTGTTATATCTAGTATAAAATAGAAACACTTTGAGTATAAAATTAGGGCATCTAAAATGCAAGAAGTTGTGCAAGAGGGTTAATAAAATTAATTATTAGTCTATGGGAAGCAAGATACATTAGTCTATAAAATACAAAATAATCTAAGCCCTCTACAATACATTACTAATTTTACAATCCAGATTATTATAAAAAGAGCTGCAATCTTTTTTTATTAACAGAAAAAGGTACCTAAAAGAAGAAAATTTTCACTTCGTTTAAACTAAGTTTAAAATAAATATATTATAATTTTTTTTCACCTATGGTAAATGTTTAGTCAGTGCAATTCTGCAATCTAGTTGTAAATTGTTAAATGACTTCATATTTCTATTGGTCAGTTACAATTCCGTAATTTGAAGTACTTTAACTTCCAACTTTTACATAGAAACGGCATGAAAAAAGATGTAGTATCGCTGTGCTTAAAATTAAGTGGATATTTTCTTACATTAGCTACCACCCAAGAACTATTTATTGATTACAGAATGATGTCTGAGTAGTTACTACTGAGCAACTAGTGCTTTTTTGAACTGGAAAAAAAATGAACTCACAGTAAGTTCGTTGCTAGGCATTCACAAGTTAAAATAGTATGAATAGTTTCATTAATAATTTCAATTAATTAATAAAAATAGTTTGATTAAAAATAATTTCATTAGTAGCATTTTCCAATAAAAAGTATTTTAGTGATTAAATCACTAAACTAATGATTCATCAATAGGCTTCGACTTCTTGAAATTAAAATTATAGCTAACTGTAAGTTTATTAGCAGAAATAGTCGTAGCAATTTTTAGAACAATTTTAAGCATTCGCTGATTGTAATGAGAATTTAAAAACAAACAACTCAAACCAAATTGAATTGCTCTTCTAAAAGCTAAAAAAAAATAAAATAAAAAATAAAAAAGGCCACAACTGTTACTCAATAAAAAAGTAAAATTAACATTTTTACTATTGCATCATACATAAATCAACTGAGGTTAGGAAGTTGAAGAGAAAATGAAAAAAAAAAAAATTAAAATTTANAAAAATAGTTTGATTAAAAATAATTTCATTAGTAGCATTTTCCAAAAAAAGTATTTCAGTGATTAAATCACTAAACTAATGATTTATCATTAAACTTCGACTTTTTGGAATTAAAATTATAGCTAACTATGAGTTTACTAGCAATTTTTGGAACAATTTTAAGCATTCGCTGATTATAATGAGAATTTAAAAACAAACAACTCAAACAAAATTGAATTGCTCTTCAAAAAAAAAAAATAAAAGGCCACAACTGTTGCTCAATAAAAAAGTAAAATTAAGATTTTTACTATTGCATCATACATAAATCAACTGAGGTTAGGAAGTTGAAGAGAAAATGAAAAAAAAAAAAATTCTAATTTAAAAAAATAATAAAAGAAACGGAAAAAGAAATGAGCTTTTTCTTTCGTTTCTGTTCTTCATAAAGGTTACGATAGATTTCTTTAAAGAAAAGCTTCTTTTTTATCTTTTATTAGTTTATTTTGTAGAATAAGAACAAGTTCAAGGTTGAATGATTATTTAACTAAATTTCATTGTGAATAGCATAAGAGAAAAACAACTGACCAAAGAAAATAAAGCTTTCATGCATGATTTACATTTTTAACAATAATGAGAAACCAAAATCATAGATTCAAAGCAATGAATTCGTTGAAAAATTGTATGTAACATGTTTTTAACATTTAAGTGTTATATTAAACATTTAAGTTATAAATGTATAAAAATTAAAACGACAATCTCAATATTTTTTTCAAATACAGTTTAGGTTAATTCGTACTTGTTTGTTTAAAATCTGCCGTAGAAAATAATTTTAATTTTGTGAGGAAAAAAAAATTTTTTTTTCAAATATAACAGTAATTTACTTGGAAAGAAAAAAAAATTAAATCTCCGAAACTTAAGAAGAAAAAAAAAATAATAATAATAAATATTTATACTAATTTTGATTGAATAATACTGAGAGTTAAATTTTTATGAAGAGTTAATTATGTATTAACAATCAAAGCTAAATTTAACCTAATTTCTGTTCAAAATAAAAAAAAACTTCCAATACGTTCGAACGAAGGGGCGTGTCACCAGCGTGGGAGAAGATAGAACTTTCTCTTTAGTTTTTTCTCTTACGTTTTCAACGATAATGTCATTAGACTTCACATTCTTAAGAGACAAAATTGGTAAAATTTTGAAAGAATTGAATTTAAAAGAAAACTTACCAGTCACAAAATATATAAAGTACTTCAGAAACATGTTTATCTTTTTGAAAACGATTACATACAGCGATCGGGTACACCTGAAAATTCCATATGAAATGAAAACAAGAGAGAGACGCTTGCCTAACTGTTGTTTCCCTTGAAACAGCGCCGTTTCTTGTTTTTTCCTGGTCACCTGACATTAACAACCAATCACGCCGAACGTGAAAAAAAGACGCATGCTCAGTAAAATAGAAATATTCAAGGAGTGTACAGTAAGTTGAAAAATTATAGAACTTTTTTCGGGTTTTCCAAAAGCGCTGCACGGATTACAGGTGTGCGGTTCTTCTCAAAAGCTACTTCAATTTAGAAGAACTTTTATTTTCTTTCTAAATTTTTTATTCTTTTTATTTTTCCTTCTAAGGTTGTTTTACTAGAAATAATTTTATTCTTCGAACGGATATTACTTTAGCGATGTTATTCATTCGTTTTATTTAGTTTAAGAGGGTGTTCAGTTTAAATTATATGTACGTATGTATTATATCGAGTAAATTGCTAGGCAGCAAGTTTTTTTTTTCTTCTTCATCCGAAGCTTTTGTTTTTCACGCTTAGTAGTTTTTCATGTTATTTTATTATTATTTTTTTATCTAACTTTGTTTTATTGGAACAAATTTTATTAAGAATAAATTGTTAGACAGAAAGTATTTTTTCTTTCATTCGAAGCTTTTGTTTTTTAGGTTTAGTAAATTTTTTTTCTAATTTTGTTTTATTTGAACAAATCTTATTAATAATAAATTGTTTGACAGTAAGTATTTTTTTTTCATTCGAAGCTTTTGTTTTTTTTATTGTTATTAATTTTTTTTTTCTAATTTTGTTTTATTTGAACAAATTTTATTAATAATTTTATTAATAATAAATTATTAAGCAGTAAGTACTTTCTTTTCATCCGAAGCTTTTCTTTTTTTACGCTTAGTAGTTTTTATGTTATTTTATTTATTTTTTTACCTAACTTTGTTTTATTGGAACAAATTTTATTAATAATAAATTGTTCGACAGCAAGTATTTTTTTTTTCATTCGAAGATTTTATTTTTTATGTTTAGTAAATGTAATTTTTTTTTCTAATTTTTTTTTTTATTAATAATTTTGTTAATAATAAATTGTTAGGCACTAAGTACTTTCTTTTCATACGAAGATTTTTTTTTTTTTTTACGCATAGTAGTTTTTATGTTACCGTCATTCGGGGCTACTTTGTGCAGGATTTCGCAGTTTTTGAACTTTGACATGTAAAAAAACCATATTAATTCAAACTTTAGTGAAATGTATCGATATTATGTTAATAACTGGACTCAGACGAGTGAATTTGATCAATATTGGCATTATTTGTATGTAATAGTTACGAATAATAAGTCAAAACATACCTTGCACAAAGTAGCCCCCAAATGGGGCTACTTTGTGCAGCGATAGGAATTCAGTTTAATAATCATGTTTTTAGTAAAATATTGATATAAAATTGTTAGAAAAGTTAATTGTTGACATTTTTAAAGCCAAAAACATCAAGATATCTGAAGATATTAGTTTGAAAATAAATTTTCAGCGTTAAAAAACCATTTTTTTTTGAAGAATTTTTTCTTAAAAAGAATGTTTATTTCAAAACATTTGAGTTTAAACAAAAGGAAACCATATACATTTTTAAACATTGAAATGGATAAAATTTTAAAAATAATAATTATTACATATTCATTAACATTTATAATATTGTTAAATTTGAACATAACATCCTTGAATGAACATGACAGAACTTGCTCTTCAGTTTCTGTCAAAATCACCTGATGTCCTATAAAATATATTTTTATGTGTTAAATCGTTTGATTAATTCATTAGAAAAATCTTTGTAGAAGAAAAATAATAGTTTACCAGGAAGTTTCACGTGTTTCTTGTGAATTTTATTAGAGATAGTATTTCTGTGGATTTTGTACTTCCGAGAAGCTTCTGCAATCGACATACCACCAGCAACTGCTTGCAAACATTGTTGCAGCTTTTCTAAAGTGTAATCACGGTAGTTTCTCGTTCCAGGTATTTTTTTATAACGTCTGACCATTTTTCTGTCGAAAAAAAAAACGAATGAAACTTTGCACAAAGTAGCCCCAAAGTGCATTTTTTTTCATTTTCCGTTTATTTGTTATTAATTTTCAAATTTTTTTAACGCTAACATGATATAATTGTTTATTAATATATAAATAAAAAATTTTGCACTTACGACAATTGTTTTATCAACGTCTTTGCATTTCACAGCTAAAGTTTCCACGCACACTTTTCGACATCCGACGTCCTCGGAAAGTTGTTGACATTGGATGAACGAAACACACTCTGAGATTGTTTTAAAATTCGAAAAAATGTTTGTAGTAATAGAAGAGACTTCTATCTTCAAATTCCACACATTTTTAACGTGAAAAAAACATAATACTGAATAGGAGCACTTGAAAAGTGCCAAATTCGAATTTGCACAAAGTAGCCCCCGCTGCACAAAGTAACCCCGAATGACAGTATTTTATTTATTCTTGTATAATTTTGTTTTATTGGAACAAATTTTATTAATAATAAATTGTTAGACAGTAAGTCTTTTTTTTTCATTCGAAGTCTTTGCTTTTTATGTTTAGTAAATTTAATTTTTTTTCTTCTAATTTTGTTTTATTTGAGCAAATTTTATTAATAACAAATTGTTAGGTAGTAAGTACTTTCTTTTCATTCGAAGTTTTTTTTTTTATTTTATGTTTAGAAGTTTAAATTTTTTTTTCTAACTTTGTTTTATTCGAACAAATTTTATTCCGATATTATTTAGCAGCTTTAGCAATTTCTTTCAATAGTTTCAGGTAGTTTAAAAACGAGTTAATTGTAATGATACTTTAGCGTTTATTAAAAAGAAAAACATTATTTTTTTTTCCATTTGGAACATTAGCTTTTTACTTTTTGTTTCTAATTTTGTTTTTTGCAAGAACTAATTGGACATTATTTTATGTACTTTGACAGTCTTTTACTTTCGTTTTTTTAAAGTTTTTAGTGGTTTATATACATTTGTATGACCTTGCTGCCGAATTACTCCATTTTGTCGACGCATTTTCTTTTTTAATATAAAGTGGTAAACAAAATGCATAAATTATTATTTTTAATCATATTTTAGCAAGGTTGATTAATGGTGATTTAGACCACTGTAACGCAGAACTTAATTTAAATAAATACAAAAAAGTCCTTACATTAATATTTAAAAATATTAAGAGAAGGATACGAAGTTAAAATGATACCCATTTGCAACTGTAAATTTGAATACTAATTGGCTACCAGTTCAAAGAATCTCAATCAGAAAACATAAAAAACGTCAGCTACAATATTGTTTATTCAATCTTTCCAATTTGGATTTCGATTTATTCTATTTTCAGAACTTTCGATTTTTTTAAAATTATGTTTAAGATATAATTTTTTTCTTCTACCTATTTGTATTTTTCAGGCGGAAATTTTTTTGAACTGTTTTAAAAATCGTTTTTTATTTTACTTTTATGTAAATTAAAAAGGTGTTAAATTTTAACGATCCGTTATATTACATAGAGAAATTGAAAACCAATAATTATTTTTTCCAAGTGGAGCTTTAGTTTTTTTCTTTTCTTTCTTTTTTCATGCATATTTAGCTTTTTTACTTGCTCATTATTGCATCTAATCTCGTTCTATTAGATAAAAATATATTTTGCTGACGGATATATAACCTTTTAATAATGATTTCTTTTATGTTTTCTGTAATTAAAAAGGTTATCAACTTTAATGATGTGCATAACATTAAAATATTATATATATCATTGAAATTGATGTTAATACTAGGACTAGAATTCATCATATCTTAGGATTATCATTAATATTATCAATATTATATATTATCATTGGATACGATTCATATGTTCATACTAGGACTAGTCTTCATGGACAGCGAAGAGTCCTAAATCCTATGTTTATATAATATTTCTGAATGATTAAAAGATAAAAAATTTATATTTACTATCTGAAGCTTTAGTTCGTATGCTTATTTATAGCGTTTTAGTTAGAAGTAATTGTTTTCTTTATTTTTATTTTTTATGCTAAAGCAGGGAAGAAGGGGCTAGTTAAGACAAATGTAATATTTCTGTCATTTATCAAAATACCTTTGTTAATATTGGCAGATTGGAAAAGCTGTGCTTACACTTTCACATGTACCCAAGATTAAGCACTAAATTGATAAGGCTGTTTTTCGAAGGCTCCGTCGTAATTTGAAATGATGCTATTTTGCTAATAATATGCTATTTTTATAACTGCTGTGAGTTTGCAACAGTTACTTATGGCTGTTAGGTCAAGTTTAGTCTATCTAAAGCCAGCGGTGTCCACTCTTATTTTGAAAATGGAATAAGAATATGGAGAAAAGTCACAGTTTTATGAAAAAGAAAAGCGTTTGTGGTCTGATTTTTTAATAATTAAAAACTTACTTCAATGCTGCATTACCTGGGCTCATTAAAATTTGCAAAAACTCAGAATCAGGCAGCGATTTTGATAATTTTCATCTAGGTGAAAAAATTTCGCCAAATTGGCAAGTATTAAAAAATTTCAATTACTTTTAAAATATTTCAGCTATTTGTCTGTTCTGAAGCCCAGATAATTCTTCGACAAGATTATATATATAGTTTAAAATCATCACATTACTTCAAGTGTAAGGCACTTAAAATATGTTTTTTTTTCTTTTTTGCCATTTTTCTTTGTGACAGAGCTTTGAAAAATAGCGTTATGCAGCAAATTTTAAGAAAAAGAAGAAAAAATAGAAACGAAGTTTTTATGGCGAAAAATAACTTCTTCAGCTTTGCCTACAACTTTAGATAGTTTTTATTCATCGCTTTTAGTTATAGGAGATATAATGTTACCAAAGAATATGGTCATAACATATTTCAATAGTCATTTTTGATTTGCCTTTCCTTAATTAACTGATAATAGGGCTTAAAGTAACGCATGACTACGCATGGTGCTATACTCCGTTGCAACTTAAAATATCATTGCGGTATATTAAGTGATCATCCGCTATTGCATTTAGTTCTGTTTTATTTCGTTATCAAATTATACAAATATGCTTTCAAAACAATATAAAAGTTTTTTAAAGATAAACACGTCAGGCAGAAATTTAATTCGTGCTAT